GTGCTGGTGCCTACCCTAAAGAGTGAGCCCTTTCCTGCTTTGCAGCTGCAGTGCCTGTCCCTCTCCCCTGTCAGCCAGTGAGCTGCATGCAGGGGGCAGCCTCTGCATTAAGCAGTGTAGTTGCTATAGGTGGGGCTGCTCTCTGACTGGTCTGGAGCAATGGTGGGGCAGCAGGTTTGCGTGCAGGTGCCGACGTGGAGGAGAAAGCTGTAGGCTGCTTATCGTGGTGGGGTCCTCGGGGCTGCATTGCCAGCCAGGGGTATGGAGTGCCTGAAGCTCCTGAAAGTTCCCAAGCTCCTGGGATGAGTGTGCTGGGACGATTTTGTCCACCTTTTCCTCCTCCTGAATACTTGCCCCTTTAGCAGCCCTCTCACTGTTGGGAAGCCTTTCAAAGTGCCCGCCTTCCTTTTGTCCCAGGGCAGCTGGTTGTGGGAATTGGCTCACAGTCTTCATCTCTGACTTAAGTTTTAGCCCCTATAATCTCCAGAGCACTGTGCAATGGGGGTTTGTGCTCCAGGAGTAGATTTCTAGAGCTGGGTATTTAGCAGTCCTGGGCTTCTACTCCCTCTCTGCTCTGATTCTCTTCTTCCTGCTTGTGAGCTGGGGTGGGGGTAGTGCTCAGGTCCTGCTGGGTCATGGTTTTATATCTTTACCCTTTTCTGTGAGATGTTTTCTTTTTGTAGATGTAGACCAGCTGGGGCATTCTTATTTCTGGTTACTCTTTTAGGAATAGTTGTATTTCCTGTATTTTCTTATTATATGTGGTTTTGGGAGGAGATTTCTGCCTTACTTCTCATGCCGCCATTTTTCCCTCTCTCCAGAATTTTTAATTTTTAATAAACTGTATGATCCACAATGCCACTTCTGGGAGTAGTCCCCAAAGAATTTAAAGCACGGTCTCAAAAAAGATACTTTTATACCCATGTACATACCACAGTTATTCACAATAGCTAAAATGGGGGAGCAACTGAAGCATCTACCCTTATAAAATGTCCACTGACAGTTGAATGGATAAGCAAAATGTATATTTACATATGATGAAGTATTATTCAGCCTCAAAAGTAAGGAAATGGTGCAATATGCTATAACATAGATGAACCTTGAGGACATTATGCTAGGTGAAATAAGCCAGTCTAAAAAGACAAATTTTGTATGCATCCACTTACATGAGGTACTTAGAGTAGTCAAAATCTACTCTAAAAGTAGATTGATAAGGGTAATGGTGGCTGCCAGGGGCTGAGGGGAGGAGAGAATGGGGAGTTATTGTTTAATAGGTCTAGAGTTTCAGTTTTACAAGATGAAAAGACCTGTGGGAATGGATGGTGGTTATGGCTGCACAAAAATGTGAATGTGTTTAATACCACTGAATTGTATACCTAAAAATGGTTAAGATGGTAAATTTTATGTATATTTTACCACAATAAAAACATAATTATATTGCTTTAAATACTGAGTAAAATTTACCTGAATTTCAAATTAGTTTTTCTTTTCATTATCCCAACTTTTGAAATGTTTTAATGGTGTTTGTTAAAAATGCTGTGTTGTGGTAGTTGCCTCATTATATCAGCAGGTGATGTTGTGTATTTGCCTTTTTGTGTGTAATAACACACTATTCTAAGACTGATAGCACATTTTATTCAATACAGTGTAATTTTTTTCTTAATTGTTTAATCAAAAGTAAACTAGTTGGGAAGTGAAATATAATCACTTTTTTCCCAATCATTTCTTGAAACATAAGAAATATGAATAAATTGAACAGGCTTATAATAATATTCACTCAATCACATTATATATGATTTAGGAATAATTTTTATTGTATTAATAAAGTTCAGAAGTAAATGTCCTGTTCCTTCACCACTATCAAACATCCCAGTTACTCTCTTAAGGCAGCTAGTAGCAGTTTCTTAAATAGCCTTCCAGAAATTATCTATGCTAAGATAAGCATATGTGTATGATATTTTTTTTTTGATATCATTAATCTACAATTACATGAAGGACATTATGTTTACTAGGCTCCCCCCTTCACCAAGTCCCCCCCACATACCCCTTCACAGTCACTGTCCATCAGCATAGTAAGATGCTATAAAATCAGATTCATGGTTACCAAAGGTTCAAGGTTAGCTTCTTTACTACCTTACTGTCTAACTTAACTCACTTATTGAGCAATTATAAACACAGTCTGATGATTCTTTATTTCTCTCCCTTCCTATTCCTCCTCCTCCATTCTTCAAATGTTGGGTGTTTTGTTCTGTGCTCTTTTTAGGAGTGCTCCCGTCTAGAACAGTCCCTCTAAAATACCCTGTAGAGGTGGTTTGTGGGAGGCAAATTCTCTCAACTTTTGCTTGTCTGGGAATTGTTTAATCCCTCCTTCATATTTAAATGATAATCGTGCTGGATACAGTATTCTTGGTTCAAGGCCCTTCTGTTTCATTTCATTAAATATATCATGCCATTCTCTTCTGGCCTGTAAGGTTTCTGTTGAGAAGTCTGATGGTAGCCTGATGGGTTTTCCTTTGTAGGTGACCTTTTTTCTCTCTCTGGCTGCCTTTAATACTCTGTCCTTGTCCTTGATCTTTGCCATTTTAATTATTATGTGTCTTGGTGTTGTCTTCCTGGGGTCCTTTCTGTTGGGAGTTCTGTGTGCTTCTGTAGTCTGAGCAACTATTTCCTCCCCCAGTTTGGGGAAGTTCTCAGCAATTATTTCTTCAAAGACACTTTCTATCCCTTTTTCTCTCTCTTCTTCTTCTGGTACCCCTATAATGCAGATATTTTTCCTTTTGGATTGGTCACACAGTTCTCTTAATATTGTTTCATTCCTGGAGATCCTTTTATCTCTCTGCATCAGCTTCTATGCATTCCTGTTCTCTTGTTTCTATTCCATCAATGGCCTCTTGCATCTTATCCATTCTGCTTATAAATCCTTCCAGAGATTGTTTCATTTCTGTAATCTCCCTCCAGACATCATCCCTTAGCTCTTGTATATTTCTCTGCAACTCTGTCAGCATATTTATGATTTTTATTTTGAATTCTTTTTCAGGGACACTGGTTGATCTGTCTCTGCAGATCCTCTCTCAGGGGTTGTGTGAATTATTTTGGACTGGACTAAATTTTTTTGCCTTTTCATGGTGATAGCGGTGGCTGTAGGCAGGTCGCGGGTGTGTCAGCTGGGAGAAGAAAGTCCTTTCCTGCTTGCTGGATGCCTTGCCCTTCTCCACTGCCTGTGTTGGTTACCCGCACTCCTAGAGCAGCCACTGGGTTAGTCCCCTAAGCTGCTGTGGGCAGGGTCTCCGTCAGAGTAGCGCGGAGCCCTGCGGGGAGTGGCAGGCATGCCAGGTGTGCTCCTCTGTGATAGTGGCGCCGCTGCCAGGCAGCTGTGTGCCAGCAGTGGCCTTTGGGTCTGGCCCGGGCAGCTGTGCATTGGGCTGGGATTCTGGTCGGCTGCTGGGAGTGCGGCTGCTCCCTGTGACACCGCTGCCGGTGCACGCGGGCCACTCCCATGCCCCTCTGGCGCTGCTGCTGCTGGCATGCACAGACCGCTCCCCGGCCGCTTGGCTGCCGCCACTGTGGGCTCGCACAGACCTCTCCCAGCTCCTCTGGCGCCACTGCCACTGGCACACCCGGGCTGCTCCTGGGCTGCTCAGTTGCCGCTGCAGTGGGCTTGCACAAGCCGCTCCCAGTCCCCTCTGGTGCCACTGGCTCACACGGGCTGCTCTTGGTCCCCTCCGGCACTGCCGCCCACGGTGTGCATTGCCACTCTCCCACTACTGGGCCGGTGTGTTGGGGTCCGTGCCAGTTGGGGGAACAGCTAGCAGGCTGCTTAGTGCCGTGAGGGGCTTCAGAGCTGCGCTGCCGCCCAGGGTGTTAGGGTGCCTGAAGTTCCCCGAGATTCCCAGCTGCTGGCTCAGTGTGCTAGGACAATTTTGTCCAGCTGTGGGGTCCCTGTCTCTTTAAGACTTGCAAAAAGCACTCGCTTTTCTTTTGTCTCAGGGGTGCCGGTTGCGGGGACCTGCCCGCAGGTTTTGCTTTTCCATTTCTGTTCTGTAATATCCAGCACCCCATGCACCGTGTCTGCCCGCTGGGTGCGGATTTCTAGAGCTGATTGTTTAGCAGTCCTGGGCTTTCACTCCCTCCCCATTCCGACTCCTTTCTTCCTGCCGGGTTCTGGAGTGGGAGAGCGTTCAGGTCCTGCCTGGCCGCAGCTTGTATCTTACCCCCTTTGTGTGATGTTGAGTTCTTGCAGATGTAGATGTATCCTGGCTGTTGTACTATATCCACTGGTGTGTCTTTTAGGAATAGTTGTATTTATTGTATTTTCATAAATATATATATATTTTTGGAGGAGATTTCCACTGAACTACTCATGCTGCCATCTTCCCGTGATCTCCATGTGTATGAGTTTTTGATGGACTTGTTCATACATGCACACAAGACTCATATATCCTAGCCTAGTCTTTTAAAAAAAAGTCTAATACTCTTATAAGGAATCTTGAATGACTTAAATATGTTCTTCAGCATATATATTGAGGAAAAGTATATATGATGTGCACATCAAATATGAGTGTTTTTTTTCATGTTTATTTAAAATATTTTCTTTATTATTGTAGTGGTATAGAGTTAAATTTCTATAGTACATTTTAATAACAGATTTGATTTGAAAATCTCATTTTCATGAAAGCAGAAAATTTTCATTTGTGTGGAAGATTTTTGCCCTTAATACATGTTCTTACTAATTGTGATACTGAAAATAGTGGGTTATCTTTGGATGTGGGGTTGGTGGGAATTTTGTGTAGAGGAAGGGATAAGGAGGGAGGGTGAACATTCTCTTTTTGAATAAAAATGTCATACTGTTTTATTTGATTTTTTAAAGCAATGGGCATATTCTACCTTTATTAAAATGATGATAGAAAATATTTTTAAAACATGTAATACCATAAAGGTTAATTTTAAAAAATATCCTCATAACTAAGCTCATTTTGTGCTTTTATTAATTTTGATTTTAGGCTTGTATGGATGTCAGAGCCAGTTCAGTGTTTTGGCAGCAGATGGAATTTGTAGATAGCCTCCTAGGTCACCCAAAGTTACCAGAATGGTTATCGACCCACCCTTCTCATGGAAATAGAGCTGAGCACTTGGATAGACTCATACCTCAGGTGAGCTAATTTATAAGGCAAGACATCATTTGTACTGTATCATTTATTTCTAATGCTTTAATTTCTTGTGCTAGAAAAACAGTTCTAGTTGTCAACTATTTTGATTATTGTAATTATGGATTATCAATTTTCAAAGGATTTGATTGAAAAGTAAAATTCTGCTTGTTCTACAAGTCTTGGGCAATAAATTTCTGTGTACAGTTGACTTTTCTTGATGGCTAAAGTTTAACCTTTTTAGTATCATAACTTTTAATTTTAACTAATTTAGTGCAAGTCTAAATAAAACTTAAGGTATATTTTGTCAACATATTGATCATAATATAATCTTTTATTGGTGATTTAAGATTTTTGTTAAAATACCAGTTAATGAGTTGTGCAAAAATTTTAGGTCAACTGGGTATTAATTCCAATATTGATTATGAAATTTGCTCTTAGAAAAAAAATATTTTCGTATTAATTGGCTTTCTGGTTACTTATTTCTTGATAAGGTAGAGTAAAGGATATGCTATGTTGCTTGTGTTTTTTTGGTAGAATTTATTAATGGGTAAAGCTGAAGCAGCCTTCTCTCATGTTGTTTTCAATATATTTCAAAATGTTGATTTTATATCATTCAGAGTGTTTCTGTGGTTTCCACATCAGTACAAAATGAATGTAAGATGTCTACAAACCAAGCCCTCTTCTGTCTCATTTGCATTAATTTTCTGGTTGGTTATGAAAGCAAAATATTATTTTTCAGTTTAAAAATTGATATTGGTCTGTTTGCTAAAGGATAACGCAACAGATTCAGGTGTATTATAAAAGTATCTTTCAGAATGACTTCAAATCAGCTTAACAAAAAATGAAAGAAAAAGCTTTCATTTTTGAGGAAAAAATCAGCTTAACAACTATTGAGTACCTATAATAAGAAAGAAATGCAAAGGGATACAAAGAGAAATAAGACATAGTATTGATATTTTCAAGGTGCTAAGCACAAAATGATTCTTAATTCAGGAAGGAATATGATATGTAAGAAAAGTGGAAATAGTGGTATGCAATTTGAAGGGCCAATAGCTTGCCTGTAGTTTGGGATAAGAAGTTACCATAAGATTAATTCATTCAATCATGTGACCAGTATTTATTGCTATTTACTGCTTATCCACAATTTTGTGTTCTGTTGCTGAGGAATGAGCAAGGAACAGAAAAATTTCTGCTTTCTTTGGAGCTGTCATTCAACTTAAATAATCCAAATAATAAGCAAACATACGTACATACATTATGTCAAGCAGTAATATACACATTAGAGAAAAATAAAGCAGGTTAGAGGTAGTAGAAAGGGCTGGTCAGTAGAGAAGACATACAAATATGTGTTGGTTTGTCGGGGGGCCTTCCTGAAGAGGATCTGGAAGGAAGCATGGGAACAAGTCCTGTGAATGTCTGGGAGGAGAATCTTTCAGACTGAGGAAGCAGCCAGTGCCCAAGACCTGAAGTGAGAGTATGTTTGGTGTGTTCAAGGAAGACATTGGGGCTGAATGGAGTAAGGGAGGTGGGGTATCATTGAGGTGTAGGGAGGGACCACATCAAGCAGAGTTTTCTAAACCATGGTAAGGAATTTTATTTCAGGTGATGTGGGAAGCCAGTAGAGAAGGTTTTAAGCAGAGGAGTGACTTCATCTGATTTGTGATCTGACTCTTGTTTTATAGTGATCACTGGGGCTTCCGTGTGGAGAGTGAACTGTAGTGGAGCAAGGGTGGAATGAAGGAGACTCATTACGAGGCTCTTGCAATAATCTTGTAAGAGATTATGGAGGCAGAAGAGAAGGAGGGAAGGGGTCAGATTTTGGATATATTTAGAAAGGAATGCTGACAGCATTTGTTGATTGTTTGGGCATACTTTGTGCCTTTCATGAGCATTGGGGACGATCAGACTTGAGTTCTTCAGATTTATCCTAAATATATTTCATTTATATTCTTAATTTGAAGGAAAAATACTTGAAAAAGAAATGGCAGTAAAATTTAGTTGATATAATGTGTAGTAATCATCTTAAAAGGAAAACATGGGACTAAGACAATATGCATTTCATATTAGTAACTGGTTTGTACTAAAGATCACTGACTCCAAGAGTCTTCTTAGTGTTACCGACAGCCCAGGGACCTTCTAACACCTTGAAAGGCTTAGCCAATCCCTAAAGCCATAGTAACCACATGGTTTTCTCTAAGAATTTCCTTTCTTTTTATTTTTGCTCAGTGAAACTGAAAGTATATGATTTGCTTAAACTGGATAGTGAATTGTAGCCAACTTTCTTCTGAAATCCGTCTTAAATTCTGAGTTTTCATTTCATCATCAGATACATAAGGATCTCTAGAAAAGTAAAATATGTACTTTAGGGAAGCCTTTAAAATAACTGTTTAGTGAGTATGCAGAAAAATGTTTAAAGAAACATATGTTATTTGGGAACCAATGACCAAGAAAAACAATTGGGAGGTATTTTTCTTCTAAAAATAAACCATTCCAGTTCAGAAATGCAATTTGAAAACCTCATATACTTTCTTATATTCCCCCAAGTGATTAAATTCAATTTGAAAGTAATAAACTCTACAATAATATTGGGAATAATTTAGTGGGTGACGTGAAACCGATAGTGCACAAGGATATTGTTAATTAGAATACACAATCATAATTTAGAGATTTGGGATTCCCTGCTATCATAGGTGTAATTTCTATAATGAAAAAAATATATAGAATTGTGTGAGTATATAGACTTGCTATTAAAGACTACATCTTTTTTTGTTAGATTTTACTTAAGATTTTTTTTCTATTTAAGGGTGTACAGTGTTGTATTCTACCGAAAGCTTCTTTCCTTTGATATTCCTGATAATATGCCTGAAGTGATGTACATCTCAAAGGTAGTTGGAAATATAGCACGAGACCTTGGAGAAGTCTAGGCCAGAGATAAGGATTTTAGAGTTACCCAATAAAGGAGACAGTTGAAGCAGTGAGAGTGGATGAGTTCACTCAGGGAGTAAGCAGAGAAAAAGATCCTGGTCAACAATATTAGGGGTTTCCACTTTAATTGGTAGGGGAAAGACATAGCCTGTAGTAGTTCAGATTCATAAGAGGAGAAAGATCAAGAAAATTCAGAAAGATTCTTTGATTCTATGAGAACACAAATCTTTGGTAATTTTGATTTTTTAGTAATTTAACTTACTGAAAATTGTATATTTTTATTTCTTACTGAATTCCTTGAATATCATCACAGAAATGTATTATTCCTTACCATAGCATATCAACATTTAAGATGTTTAAATCAATTCATGCATTCAACAAATATTTATTAATTACCTGTTATATACCAGATTGTAGATGTTGTAGGTGTTGTGAACAAAATAGACAAAACCCTGCCTTCACGAAGCTTTTTTTGCAGTAAAGGGAGACAGACAATACATTTAATGCATTGATAAGATATAGACTAAATCACTGATTTATTGTCTATTAGTTAGTAATAAGAGTTAAGGAGGAAAATAAAAGAGGAAGACTGTATTAGTTGTCCTGGGTTGCCATAATTAAATACCATAAAGTAGGTGGTTTAAACAACAGAAATTCATTTTTTCACAATTCTGAAAGCTAGAAGTCAAATAAAAAGTTTAAGCTGATTTGGTTTCTAATGAAGTTTCTCTTCCTGGCTTGCAAAGGTGCCTCTCTCACTGTGTCCTCACGTGGTAGAGTGAGCACCCTGGTGTCTCTTCCTTTTCCTGTAAGGGCACTAATTCCATCACAAGGGCTTCACCCTCATGACTTCATCTAAACCTACTTACCTCCCAAAGGCCACATCTCCAAATACTATCACATTGGGGGTTAGGGCTTCAATATATGAATTTAGAGAGAGAGTGACTCAGCTCAGTCCGTAGCACGTAATCTGTGAGCAGCGATGGTAGAGGTGATGAAATAGCTGTCTGAAACGGGGTTGGTCAGAGAAAGTTTCACTGAGAAGGTGGTGTTTGAACGACGACTTGAAATAAGTGAGGGTAAGTTGCGTGGCTACCTGGGGGAAGAGCCTTCCAGGCAGAGGGAATACTTAAGTACAGGCGCTCACCCAGGAGTGAGCCTGGTGTATTTGAGGAGTAGCAGGGAAACTGACGTGGCTGAATGGGGTAAGCAAAGGAGGTTGGGAGGTGTGGGTCTTGTAGCCCCTGTAAAGACCTTGGCTTTTGCTCAGAATGGAATGCCACTGGAGTGTTTTGAGCAGAGGACTTAGAGCAGTAAGAAGATCTGACTTATGTTTGAAAATAATGTGTTCTACACTTCTCACAAAGCAGTACAATCCAATCATTTTGAAGTATTTTAGTATAGAATACTGTTAAGAAAATAACTAGTTTCTTTTTTTTTGTTTTTAAATTTTAAAAAAGCCCCCATATTAGAAAAAAATATACCCTTGCTATTTTTTATATGTAATCTGAGGTAACACATGGATAAATGCCTAGCTAAATAGAATTCTGTGATCCACTAACATTTAAAAAAGCATAATTATAGGGTTGTAGTAATAATATTATTTGTAGTTAATAAGATGATATAATTTTATTTACTTGAAATAATCAGTTAAATTTAGGAAACAAATCCCATGTATTTTGGTTACCATAACAACTTGGGTGAAAAATTGAAGAACAGATGTTATGTCAACCTGTTGATGTTTAATAGTATGACAGTTTTAAAAATTTTGGTTACACAGTTTGGACTTTATGTATACCATAAATTGTCCTTGAAAGAGAACCTTATTTAACTTTCTTTCTATAGGGATGGTTTAAAAATATGAATAGATGTGAATAGGGGAAATTGTATGATAACCCAGGGTGGAAATTTACTTGAAAGATTTATTTTACAACTCAAGACATTTAGACTAAATGTTTTATTTTCTACTTCTCTCACCAACTCTGTCTACCATCCTTTCAGGGGTGGGGAGGGGTTGGGAGAATGGTAGAATACATAGGAAAAACATTTAATTAGGGCTTATTTGTTGCTTGGGATTA